TGTATAAGGTAGATAGTCATTTCCATTGACAATTTCAAGGAAATCAGGGAACAGACTACAGTATACACATGATGAGGACATAGTTAGGGAAAACAACACAAAAGTATTGTGGACAGGCACCGACAGAACACAAGAGAAAGGAGTTGTTCAAGTACTGCTTAAGCACTAGGTAAGAGTACAAATGGAATAATATGATAATAAAAACATGTTGTCTAGTTATGGGGATGGAGGAAATAGACCACTTTTCATTGTATAGTGACTGATTTCCAGATATACATAGCAAAGACATAATCATAAACGCCTACTTGCATCTTGTATTTTTGGTTCCTTCTGTTAGATTCCTTTCTAATCCCTCTCTATGAGACTGTTCAAGTACAATTCATATAATAGATAAATATATATTTTAGCTGTCACTTGGCTTTAGTTAATGTACTAATTTCTGGAGTTGAATGTTGAAGAAAGAAGAAAATTTTATCTGCATCAGAGGAAGTACAATATTGGGTTCCATATGTTCATGATGCATTATCTCCATTCTAGGGAATTTTTAAAAAATCTTAGGGAAAATTTGTCATTCCACAAATGGCAATGACTTTTAAATCAAGTAATCTTCATAATTTTCTATTTGACCTTTGCTATTTCTTATTTAACCATAGCTTTTTTAAAACTTTTATTTAATAAATATAAATTTCCAAAGTACAGCTTTTGGATTACAGCAGCTTCCCCCCCCCCATAACCACCCTCCCACCCTCAAACATCCCATCTGCCACTCCCTCTCCCATCCCATTCACATCAAGATTCATTTTCAATTATCTTTATATACAGAAGATCAATTTAGTATGTAGTAACTAAAGATTTCAACAGTTTGCACCCACACAGAAACACAAAATATAAAGTACTGTTTGAGTACTAGTTATACTGTTAATTCACATAGTACAACACATCAAGAACAGAGATCCTACATGCTGAGTAGCTTTTAAAAAGTTCTTATTCGAAAATGTATTGACTTGCTATCCTGTATGGTTTTCAAATCATACAAATAGTTGAGACTAGTGTAATAACTGGTTAACGGTTATATACATTATCAACACTGTACAGAGTTGCAAAGTCTGGAATCAGACTTGTAGTCTTGGGGCCAAAGAATGTTACCAGCTTTCTTCCAATTAGCTACTCTTGACATTTTTTACAAGAGTTGTAATTTGTCAAACAAATGTAATTATGAGATTACCTCCTCCTCAAGAAGTGATTACCACAGATGTCTTACTATAATCTCTTTCCTCTTGTGCCTTAACTTAATAAGAAATGTGAATAAGAATGGCTGTGGGAGGTGGAAAGGATAAAGATGTGACAAGGTTAGAGGAGGCAAAATATTCAGAAAAGAAAAAAGGACACCTAAGCAGGAGTCAATATATTTTATCACAATGAATATAAAAAAAGAAATATTAATGTTTCCTATAAAAGACTGAAACTCTGCAGGAAAGAGTCACTGAAGAGTCATATGAATTTATTTGTGATATGCACTTTATTTTTAAATAAAAATTCACTAAGAACAATATATTAAGTGATAAAAAAGCAAGTTAATGCTTCATTAAATATTCAGAATTATTTTTCCAAATGAGCAATAAAATGCACATTAGTCATAACTTATTCTCATAATTCAGGTATTGTCTCAGTTATATCCCTAAAGAAAAAGAAATCTCATAGAAAACTTCTTCAGGCTCTATGGTTCAGATTTCTCAGCCCTGTGGCATACACACTTTTAACACTAAATACTGTAATCAGATTCCTCCACATTTCACATACACCTTTCCTTCTTCTTTGATTCATCATTGAATTTTTATCTTCCTTTCAATAATATTTTCTGTTTTCAAATTCAATTGCATTACACATCCTTTCAAGGCTAATATAACATGTCCCAGATGATCAGTTTTGTTCATATCATGAATACCCATGAGCTGATGTGCATATGTTTGTGTATTTTTTGTTGATATCATAATTTATGTTTTATTTTTCATTTTAGAAATAAGTTGTTAATACAAAGAAACACATCAAAGATAAGAAAATATGGTATCTTTATTTAAGAACATTTAAGTTAAGCTGAATATATTTTACCCAATGTAAACATTTTCAAACCTGTACTGAATATGATACTCTTCATTCTGTCTTTTCATCTACACATAAGACTATTGAGATTGCCATTGTTATGTTTCATACAAGGATATGAAAATGCTGAAAGACAACTGATATTCAGCCTGAACAATTATTCATTTTTCATGGAAATTTTCTTCCCCAGTCAGATTGAGAATTTTGTATAGTTTACCCAGATGTCACCATAGGATAGATGAGTAGAAGACAACAGTTTTTTTTTCTATAAGACAAATATCTGAATTAACATAAAAATGTTTTATGTTTATTTTCTGTAATTTTTTTACTATGGTAAATTTTGATCTTATAGAATAGTTTAAAAAGCATTCAAAGAACTCTATTTACCCTTTAATTGAATTGAGCATCAGCAGATATTTTTCCCTCAAAAGCTTTATCATCAATTTTTATATCCATCTTTCTATCCATCTATCATCTTTCTCTAGATGATTTGAAAGAAAGTTGTGGTCTTGATGTTCCTCTACTCTTCAATACTTCAGTGATCAATGTCTAAAAACAAAGATAAGATTTTACATAACCGCTGCAATTATCAAAATTAACAAGTTGAATACAGATGCAATATTATTATCTAAATAATTCCATACCAAAATGTCCCCAGTTGTCTCCAATAGTTTGTTTCATGTTCAAAATCACACATTAGGTACCGTATCTTAATGGACACCTTTTATTTGGACTAGGTCATCACCCTTTATTCTCGTTGAATATATTTTTCTATTAGTATTGGTAATGTATTTTATCTTAATTTGTGTTTTCTCTTTTTTTTTTCATTATTAAATGAGACTGTGCATGTTCTCCAGGAATGCCCCTGAAATGACATCATGTTTTCTTCAGAACAATAACATTAGAAGCCTCATGACAATATTACATCATCATGTTGGTTTGTCAAAACATTTTTGATATTAACATTGATAACTAGGTTATGGTTTGTCCATAACCAAAACCACTGGTTTTTTTCTGCTATAACGTTTGTATTTTTCACTGTTTCATTGACAAGCAAATTTGGAAGAGATATTTTCGGATGTGTAAATATCCCATTCTTCATCAAATTTTTAATCTAGTAGTTTTGCATACTCTATGTGTTTGGAACTCTATCATTCCTTCTTTATTAATTAGGTTTCTTGTGTATGAAATAACTTTGTATTCACTATTCATTTATTCATTACTGCATTTTTAAATTTTAAAAAGTATTTATATAAGGTGAACAAATTTCATGTATTTCATATACACAGATTTAAGAGCATAATGATACTTCCCATGCTCCCTCCCTCCACCCACTTTCCTTCCTTTTCTTCTCCTTTCTTTATTATTTTTTTAAATTTTTCCATGACCTACTTTCAGTTCATTTTATAATCACAAGCTTCACCCTCCACTAAATAAAGAATTCAACAAGTAGTAAGTAGAAAAACCACTGAGCCTCAAGAGTATAGAAAAGGACTGCAAACAAGAGTCAAAACTCAAAATGTCAATTTTGCTCATAAACATTACATTTTATTGTACTCTGTATATTAGTTGCCATAAATCAGGGAAACATGATATTTGTCATTTTGGGGCTGCCTATTTCACTAAGCATAATGGCTTCCAGTTGCATCCACTTTGTTGCAAAACACGGGATTTCATTCTCTTTTTATTTAAGGAGTACAAACTTTATACATTTCATAATTACTACTTTAAGAACACGGTGTCTTCCCACCACAGAACAGTATTTGGTACTTTATATACACCACTACTTTTTAATCCAGGTATCTATTGATGCACATCTGGGTTGATTCTATATCTTAGCTATTGTGTACCATAATGGAAGACAGTATGAAGATTCCTCAGAAATATGAAAATAGATCTGCTATATAACTCAGTCACCGCACTCCAGAGAGTATACCCAAATGAAATGAAATCAACACATGAAAGAGTTATCTGTACCTTGACCAGCCCCATGGCTCACTAAGCTAACCCTCCACCTAGCAGCGCCGGCACATTGGGTTCTACTCCCGTCAGGGTGCCGGATTCTGTCCCGGTTGCCCCTCTTCCAGGCCAGCTCTCTGCTGTGGCCCGGGAAGGCAGTGGAGGATGGCCCAAGTGCTTGGGCCCTGCACCCCAGGGGAGACCAGGAGAAGCACCTGGCTCCTGCCTTCGGATCAGCGCGGTGCGCTGGCCGCAGCGCGCCAGCCATGGAGGGTGAACCAACGGCAAAAAGGAAGACCTTTCTCTGTCTCTCTCACTATCCTCTCTGCCTGTCAAAAAAAAAAAATCAAAAAAAGAGTTATCTGTACCCTATGTTTATTGCAGCTCAACTCATAACAGCTAAAGGTTTTTATATTTATTTATTTGTGAGATAGAGACAGAAGGAAGAAGAGATGGAGGGAGGGAGAGATGGAAGTGGAAAGACAGAGAGAGAGCTCCCATCTGCTGGTTAACTTCCCAAATGCCTATAATGGTAAGACTGGGTTAGGCAGAAGCTGGGAACTAAAAACTCAATCCAGATCTATCACGTGTATTACAGAGACTGATCTCTTTGAACCATTAACTGCTGTCTCAAAAAGCATGTACCAACAGAAAATAAGAACTGAAAATAGAGCTGGGATTCAAAATGAGGTATTTTGACACAGATTGCAGACATCTCAACCGATCTTTAACATGGTTAAGCCAAATGCTCATTCAAATTATTTTCTTTTTTGAGGATTCTTATGTTTAACTTATTTTAGGTTCTCTTACTGCTCAAATTGTCCTGGAATTGAAGAGTAGTAGATCCTTCTAAAGGGCAATTTTTTTCTTGTACATGCATCCCTATGAGTCTCAGATTATTTCTTCACTTTTTTATTCAGGAAACAAGAAATGAATGACTGATGGCAAAAATGAACTATAGTTCTCAAGGCTATTTTATTCTACTGGGCTTTTCAAGTTGGCCTCACCTGGAAGTTGTTCTCTTTGTGGTGATCTTGATTTTCTACCTGATGACACTCATAGGCAACCTGTTCATCATCATCCTCTCATACCTGGACTCCCATCTGCACACTCCTATGTACTTCTTCCTCTCAAACCTCTCTTTTCTGGATCTCTGCTACACCACCAGCTCCATCCCTCAGTTGCTGGTTAACCTCTGGGGCCCAGAGAAGACCATCTCTTACATTGGCTGCATGATTCAGCTTTACTTTGTCCTTGCATTGGGAGCCACAGAGTGTGTCCTTTTGGTGGTGATGTCCTATGACCGTTATGCAGCAGTATGCAGACCTTTGCATTACACTGCCATCATGCACCCTCGTTTTTGCCATGCACTGGCTGTGGTTTCTTGGATATGTGGTTTTACCAACTCAGCCCTTCATTCCCTCTTTACCTTCTGGGTACCCCTGTGTGGACATCGCCAAGTGGATCACTTTTTCTGTGAAGTTCCAGCACTGCTGCAAATATCTTGTGTTGATACTCATGCTAATCAACTGACTCTCATGATCACCAGCTCCATTTTTGTTCTCATACCTCTACTTCTCATTTTTACTTCCTATGGTGCCATTGCCCAGGTTGTATTGAGAATGCAATCCACCACTGGATTTCAGAAAGTCTTTAGGACATGTGGCGCCCATCTGCTGGTTGTATCACTCTTTTTCATTCCAGTCATGTGTATATATCTCCAGCCACCATCAGAAAATTCTCAAGACCAAGGCAAGTTCATTGCCCTCTTTTATACTGTTGTGACACCAAGTCTTAACCCTCTAATCTATACCCTCCGAAACAAAGATGTCAGAGGGGCAGTAAAGAGACTAATGGGGAGAGAGTGAGTCTCTATACTTATGCTATTAAGAGTATAATAGAGTATCTCTTCACCAACCAGTCATTTGCCCATCCATTTGCCATGCTGTCAGCATTTATTGAGCTAGTGCTCTAAGAGATCGTGGAGTTTCTGGTAACAGCTATGAAGAAAACACCATTTGCCTTAATAGCATTCACTTATGGAGAAGACAGCCATGTAAAATCAGTACCAAATATAAACAGAGAATTTATTTCCTAGCAGAATCCTAATGAACCCAAAGTAGCATGCTCTTAATTAAAAACAGTGGTGGAATTTGGTGCAACTATTGGCAAGAGAGCAGTTTATAAATCCTATGAGAAATATTCTCAATTGTTTAAAAATGTCTTATTTTTCACACTTAGGCAGATTATTTTTGTTTGTTTACCATTATTTTAATTAAAAGTAAAATATAAATATTTTAAAGATTTATGCTGGTTCACTCCCCAAAAAGCTACAATGGCTGGGGTAGGGCCAAGCCAAAGCCAGGAGCCAGGAACTCCATCAGGTCTCCCTCATGGGTACAGGGGCCCAAACAGTTGGGCCATCTTCTGCTACTTTCCCAAGTACATTAGCAGGGAGCAGAAGTGAAGCAGCTGGAACTCAAACCAGTACCTATATGGGAAGCCTGCATTGCTGGTGGCAGCCATACCTGCTGCACTGAAATACTGGCCCCAAAATATCATAAATCTTTTTCTCCAACACCTCTATTCATTCTTGAGTAATGGCATGGATTTCATGGTGTTTAAATTTGCTTCCAAAAGATTAAAGTGCCTGAGGCTTGGTTCTTGGTTGGGTAACGCTGATAGTTGGTAGAACCTTTAAAGGGTGGAAGGTCATTTATTGTTGAGGTCACTGCCCTTTGAGTCCTTTTGAATCCCAGTTAGTTCAAGCAAAAGTAAGTAATAAAAAGGACATAGAAGGCCGGCGCTGCAGCTCACTAGGCTAATCCTCCCCCTGTGGTGCTGGCACCCCGGGTTCTAGTCCCAGTTGGGGTGCCGGATTCTGTCCCGGTTGCTCCTCTTCCTGTCCAGCTCTCTGCTGTGGCCTGGGAAGGCAGTGGAGGATAGCCCAGGTCCTTGGGCCCTGTACCCGCATGGGAGACCAGGAGGAAGCACTTGGCTCCTTGGCTTCGGATCAGTGCGGTGCACTGGCCGCAACGCACTGGCCATGGCGGCCACTTGGGGGGTGAAAAACAGAAAAAAGGAAGACCTTTCTTTCTGTCTTTCTCTCTCACTGTCTAACTCTGCCTGTCAAAAAAAATATATTTGAAAATTTTGTGATAAATGTTGTTATGTGAAAGATGTTAGTTTACATTTTTATTAAAGTTTGATTTGAAATTAAATATTTGTGGTTAAGCATATTATGAAAGTCGACTTACATATTTTCCAATAAAGAAATGTATTTTTATGAGGATAATAGTTTTGTTACCTATATTATTATAAATCATCTCATCTGAAATAAATGGACTATGTAATATATTGCTTTAAACTGGAAATAATGTTCTGTAGTGAAACAAAGAGTAAGTGATAACTCAATGTAAATATCATATCAATTCATGAATCACTTGCATCTCAGTGTAATTTTTGAGACTTTTACGATTTAGGTATGTAATATTGGGAAATTCTTCCTTCTATATAATTATAATTTGGTGCCCATTATGCAACTTCCCTCTAACTTCCCTCCCCACTACACTTCCCAGTCTCTGGTAATGACTCTTACATTCAGGTCAATTTTTTAAATTTTTCATATATAAGGGAGAACATGTAATATATTTTAATTTTTGTGCATGGCTTATTTCAATTAATGTAATTTTGTCAATTTCTATCTATTTGCCATAGATCACAAGATTTCATTCTTTCTGTGGTTGAATAGTATTCCTTTGTGTTTATATATACCATAGTTTCTTTATCCATTCATCTGATGATGGAAACTTTAGCTAATAAACATGGAAATGCACGTTAATATAATGGTTAATTTTCTTTTGGGTTTATACCTTGTAGTGTTATTGCTGAATCATGTGGCAGTCCTATCTTTAGTTTTTTAAGGAAACTACACACTGTTTTTCATGTAAGTTTCTAGCAATGCACAAGACATTGGGATGACTATACTACACAATAATATATAATATATTTCCTGAGCAAATAAAAGCAGAATTCAAAGGCTCTAATCATAACATAATGACAATGGGGCTCCAAACCCATACGAATCAGTGGTATAAACACCATCTTCACTGTTACAATGATCAACTGAAACGTTAAAGGCAACAGATAGAGCAGTCTAAGTTTAAAAGAGACGACATAAATAACATCAAATCCCAGGTAAAAATAATAGAATTAAAAAAGGAAGGAAGGATCAACATGGGAAGCACTCCACACAGCAGAGTCCTAGAATGACTTTCGCAGTAAACAATACTCAGACCTCAGAATCAACCCATAAGGCTTCCTGGTCGGGATGAAAGGCCTGTAAGAGCATCTCAGGAATGGAAAGACAAGACTCTGTGGAAAAAACACACACACACACACACAAGGAGGAGCTCTGCGAGACTTCAGAGGAAAGGAAGGGTCATCAAAGAAGACACTCTTCTCCGAAGGGAGAGAACATCCTCTTTGCTTATGGCTGTGTCCAAATACCGACGGAGTCTATGGTCACAAAAGGCCTCCATAGCCCTAGCAGCCCACAACAAGAGCCTCGGATGATACTGAGTCATAAAAAAAGAGTGTTAATTGTTAAAAAAAAACAAACAAACAAACAAACAACAGTAGTCATTGTGCACTTGCTCCCCAGGTAGGAGCTCTGTCTCTATTGAATTGCAATATGAGAATCCACTGCAAATTTTCTCCCCAAACTGCGTGCTATATGTTATGTATGGGCATGTGGGCAAATTGTTGAAATATATGATTAGCATAGAGATAGTCCTCTTTATATGAAGTCATACTAAAAATAATCCATAATGAAGAAGAAGATGCGAGAGGGAATGGGAGGTGGGATGGGAGTGGGGTGGAAACATGGGGAAAGAACCAATATATTCCTAAAGTTGTATCTATGTAAAAATGCATTCAATAAAAAAATAAATGAATAAATAAATAATGTGATGACAAGAAGAGGGACATTTTAATTGTGCTTATTTGATCAATACGCATTGCATACATTTAATGAAATATCACACTCTACCCCATATATGTAAATCTTTTAAATAAATTTTTAAATGTCTTAAATGAAAGATCTCCGCAAGTGAGATCCCAGCGGAAAGAACAGGTCATCAAAGCAGGAGGCACCTTTCTCTGAAGGGAGGAGAGAACTTCCACTTTGACCATGGCCTTGTCTAAATATGATCAGAGTCAGTGAACTCAGGGGGCTTCCATAGCCTTGGCAACTCATGACAAGAGCCTAGGGTGATTACTGATGCCATAAACAAGAGTGTCAATTTGTTAAGTCAACAACAGGAGTCACTGTGCACTTACTCCTCATGTAAGATCTTTGTCCTTAGTGTGCTGTACATTGAGATTTAATGCTATAACTAGTACTCAAACAGTATTTTTCACTTTATGTTTCTGCGTGGGAGCAAACTGTTGAAATCTTTACTTAATGTATGCTAAACTGATCTTCTGTATATTAAGAGAATCGAAAATGAATCTTGGTGTGAATGGAAGGGAAGAGGGAGTGGGAAAGGGGAGGGTTGCTGGTTGGAGGGACGTTACTGGGGGAAGCCATTGTAATCCATATTCTGTACTTTGGAAATTTATATTCATAAAATAAAAGTTAAAAAAAGTTTAGTATAGACTTACTGTGACAATGAATTCAAAATTTATGTTCACTGCATATCTGTGTGATATTTTGTAGTAGGCTATGGATAAATACTTAATTGTAAGCAACCTATGTCCTTCAACAGGAGAAAGATAAGCTGGGGGTATACCCACACAATGGAATATTTTATTTTAATGGGAAAAATGGCCTCCTTCTATCTCTGACAATATGGGTGTTTCTCAAATGAACTTCCTAGAAAATGTGAATAGTCATCTAAAGAATGACTTTTGTATGCATCCATTCTTAATATTACTGGAGAAACAAAACTATACAAATGGAAAAGAATCTGGTTGTGAGGGGTTGGTGGAAAGGAGGTTGGTTGATGACGAAGAATACACACAGAAGAACTTTTGGGATGATAGAATTATTCTATACCTACTATACCCATGCTGCATGACTTTGCATTTTATCAACACAAAAAAAATGCCCATAACAATAAAAAATTAATGTATGCAAATAAGCAAAGAAAAACATCAATGAATATACTAAAGATCCTAGGGTGGAACGCAGACTCTGAAAAATGAATCTATGAATATATTAATTATACAGCATAACTACATTGAAAAGAGTGGAGTAAAAAAAAATGCTATCCTAGGGGCTGGCACTGTGGCGTAGCCAGTAAAGTCACTGCCTGCAGTGCCTGCATCCCATATGGTTACCGGTTCAAGTCCTAGCGGCTCCACTTCTGATCCAGCTCTCTGCTATGTCCTGAGAAAGCAGTAGAAGATGGTTCATGTCCTTGGGCCCCTGTACCACGTTGGAGACCCAGAAGAAGTTCCTGGCTCCTGGCTTTGGATCAGCTCCAGCCATTGTGGTCAATTGGTGAGTGAACCAACGGATGGAAGATCTCTCTCTCTCTCTCTTTGCCTCTCGTTATCTCTGTGTAACTCTGACTTTCAAATAAATAAATAAATAATAAATCTTTAGAAAAATGCTGTCCTAAATAACTTTAGAAAAGTATATTTCATTGGAGGCTAAAGATAAAAATAATTCTGCGTTAACGTTTTGTTTCTCATGGGGGTATAATGATTTGCGGCATAGATCTACATGTTCCCTAGTGTTGGACAAAAGTGTTAAAAGATGTTGGATCATGAGATCTAACATTTCTCACTGTTGGTAATGGAAATTACAGACAAGCAAGAGAAAGACTAGAATGAACCATGTGTTATTGTGTTGTGTTAGATA